CCAACTATTCCACAATGAATAAACTTACCTCAACTACGCTCCACCACCTCCGGCTGATCAATTCAGATGCATACACGTTGCGTTTCCAAAAAGTCAAATTCCCACCTGCTACCTGACCTGAATAGCCAATTGTAATCTCTCTCTCTCTCTCTCTCTCTCTCTCTCTCTCTCTCTCTCTCTCTCTCTCTCTCTCTCTCTCTCTCTCTCTCTCTCTCTCGCGGCTGGAAGTTGAAATGGCGAATCGCTGTCGCCTGAAGTCGATGCACTATCCGACGGCTGACGGGTTCTGATAAGGAGCGTCGAGAAAAAGGAGGTAAATTGAATATGACATTCACATTCGAGATCCGACTGGGCCAAGTATGCATAGTACCTCAAAGAAGCGGGAGATTGGATATGGCGGTTCGACAGACAAGAGGAGCACGCTCGTCGTCTCACACGGCGTTCAGTGCCAATCTTCTCCAGTGCAGCCTTCCGTCTTACACTCCCTTTGCACTCGAGTCAGCTCTCTCTCTCTCTCTCCTTTGTTCTCTGCCGAGAGACAATGTCCAGCCTTAGTGCGAATCACTCCTTTGAGTGCAACAGTGTGCACAATCATACTCCTCTCTTGGCTCATACTGCCCTCCTCTCAAATGTTCACGTCACCATCCCACCCTCTTTTAGATCGTCTCCTATCCGATTTGGGGCCTCTCCATTGTGAGGAACGGAAATCGACAAACGGAGAAAAGGCAGACTTTAACCCCTCCAATCCCATCCTTTTGGCACCATCTCCTCCTCCATCCCGTTCATCGATAGGAACCCTCCCCCATTCCACGACAAGCTGCCCTCGTAACATCCCTCCCAACCTCTCTCTCTCTCTCTCTCTCTCTCTCTCTCTCTCTCTCTCTCTCTCTCTCTCTCTCTGTGTATAGGGGTCTATTCTCGAATGTCGTGTCACTCCCCCGTTTTCACCCCCTTTCCGAAAAACGACAGCACAATCTTGAACACCTCACTATCCCTAGTTCCCATTTCCCATCACCAGCCGATCTGTCTCCGTCCAATCCTCGACAGGTACCAGCCGTGCATGCGTTCGCACGATCAACCTCTCCTATTCCCTATTTCGGCTAACAAAAAAGAAAGGAACAGTTGTCCGACGCACGTATTTTAGGAAAACTCGCCGCAATTTCGGCCGTGCTTGTCGGAATCGCGGCCCTCTCCTCCTCTCATTTTCACCCTCCGACCCGTCCGCACTACCTAGCCTATAATTGTCATGCGATGGCTCGCGCCACACTACCGTACCGGTGGCGTGAACGCGACCTGCAGGTATGGGCCTCGCTGCACTCCACTCACCGAGGCCACGCCAACTGGCGGGTACTAAGAAAAGCACGAACCTGGCCATTTTGACGCCCACGTTCATACTTTCTAAGCTCGAACGCAGCAACGATGGGGCCTCCCTTCTCTGAGCCAGGCCAGGGCATTCTCTGGTGCTGAGCCACTGTGCGCTGTGACTGTGCGCAACAGATTGTGTAAGAACTGCGCGCAGTCAATCCAGTCACAGTTGTCGTTTTTTTTTCCTTTCCAATCGTCGATTGTTTTCTTTTGGTGGCAACTTTGTCTGGCGCCCCTGTAATTTCCATTATTTTGCGTCGCGCCCCTCTGACGACCGACGTACCCTGCTGTGCCCCTCTGACCACGATTAAAAATTTCCCATAAAACCCCGGCGTCGGCTGGGCCTGAAATATTTTTGTTATGCCCCTACCAGTACCTGTTCCAAATTTGAACTACGCCCCTCCGGATAGGGTGCATGTTTTCAGCACACCTCTATGACTACGCACATGGCGGC